CCTGAGCATGTGCCCTTGACCGGAATCGAACCTGGGACCCTTCAGTCCGCAGGCCAACACTCTATCCACTGAGCCAAACCGGCTAGGGCTGCCCATTTTTTAACTGAATTGTTTGTGGGGGGGTTTGTGTTGAGAAAATTGAGGGGACAATTTGCATATTAGCCTTTTATTATATAGGATACTCTACTGGATATAAAGCCTGGGTAATTCAGCAGCTCAGCAGTGTTCTCAAGGGCCCGGCTCTTTCCATCTTTCCATTCTGACATCCTTATCACATAGGCTGGCCCCTTCATGGTGGTAAGTTGGCCCCAGAAATCACATCCTTACCATCCAGAGCAGAAAACGAACTGCTTCTTCCTTGTAGGCATCTTTTTAAGAACAAGAAACCGTTTCCAGTTCTTTCTAAATTTTGTTGTGGCTATTCAGAGTCTCTTGTGATTCCTTATAAACTTTTGGATTATTTGTTCTAGTTTTGTGAAAGATGCCATTTTTGGTGTTTTGATAGGGATTGTGTTGAATCTATAGATTGTTTTGAATATATGTACATTTTAATGATATTAATTCTTCCTATCCATGAACATGATATATGCTTCCATTTATTTGTATCTTTTTACATTTCTTTCTTCAAGGTCTTATAATTTTCTGAATATAGATCTTTTACCTCCTTGGTTAAACTTATTCCTAGGTATTTTATTTTTATAAAAATATGTTTTTATTGATTTGAGAGAGAGAGAGAGAAAGGGGGAAGAGAGAGAGAAACATTAATGAGAGAGGACCATGAATCAGCTTCCTTCTGCATACCCCCTACTGGGGATCCAGCCTGCAAGAGGGCATGTGTCCTGACAGGAATGGAACTGGCAACCACTCAATGCGTGGGACGATGCTCAACCAACTGAGCCACACGGGTCAGGGCTATTTTATTTCTTAAAGCAATTGGAAATAGGATTGTTCTCTTTGTTTCTCTTTCTGATAGTTCATTATTGGTGTATAAAAATGGAACTGATCTCTGAATTTTTTTTGTATCATACTACTTTGCTGAATTTTTGAATAGTACTAGTAGATTTTTGGTGAAAAAAATGTGTAGTATTTTTGTTCTGTAGTGTTTCTCTCTCTATATCTATCTATCTATCTATCTGCTTTTTTTTCAAGTCTATTTTCTTCTAATTGTGTACTTGGTGTTCCAAAGATTGAGAGGTTTAAGTTTTCCCATTCTGCTTGTGATTTTGTTAAAATCCCTTATACAGTATTTGTAATGAATTTTATTTTAAATATTTTAATGTTGTTAATGCATTATTTTTATTTTTTACTTTTTATTTTTTTGCTAAAGTGCTTTTAGTTTCTCCACAAACCTTTCTCAATATCACCACTTTTATCTTGTCTCGCTTCTTTTCTCCACCTGTTTTCTCCTCACGGCCTTCTGCTTCTATTTTGTGGAGTCTGTGTTTTCTGTCACCTTCTTGAAGAGGCCAAAGAATCTCCTTACTTGCTCCTCTGTCATACTAAATCACTCTTAAAGACCTGCCCCTCCTGAGTCTTCAGAATAATATTTCTGTTTGCTTATTCAGAAGTATTTTCATATGCCCAATTTCTTGGTGTTTTCTGTCTGCTTGTTCTTGAACAATAAAAAAGCTGATGTTTGAAAAAACAACAAAACCCAAGATGTGTGAATTGTCCTTTGATTGTGAGACTTTCAGCTGCCAGTACAATAAATCTCAATCCATCTGACATTTGATTAGAATGATTTCTGAGTTTACCTAAAAAGAGTAGAGTTAAAGCCTGGGTAATTCAGCAGCTCAGCAGTGTTCTCAAGGGCCCGGCTCTTTCCATCTTTCCATTCTGACATCCTTATCACATAGGCTGGCCCCTTCATGGTGGTAAGTTGGCCCCAGAAATCACATCCTTACCATCCAGAGCAGAAAATGAACTGCTTCCTCCTTGTAGGCATCTTTTTAAGAACAAGAAACCTTTTCCAGAAGCCCTCCTCCTCTTGGCTGATTGCTCCTTTTGTTGGCCAGAACTGGATTGCAAGCCCAACCATAAAGCAATCATTGGCAAAGGGAATGAGTGCACACAGGTGTGTTAGAACAATCAGAATTAACCTGCGTCATCTGGGGGGAGACAGCAAAGGGAATGAGTGCACACAGGTGTGTTAGAACAATCTGTGTTAGAACAATCAGAATTAACCTGCATCATCTGGGGGGAGACAATAGATCCCGAGTCAGAAATTGCGCTCAGCCCTCAGGGAAGGGGACGTGGCTGTTGAACAGGTTTCCGACAGTGTCTGCTGCACTCTTGGCCCCACTTGATGCAGATGAATCTCATCACACATCTGCAGCGGGAGAGCAGGTGCCTGGGCTCAGCTTTTAGCTCCATTCTCAGGATTTATCAGGCTCTCATGTAATGTATCTCCATGGGGCTGAAACGGAACCTTCTCTTACCTCTATATCCTGTCCATCTGATGCTTTCAACCAACGTAGTTTACAAAAATGACATTCCGAGCCCCTTTCTATCTGTGCCGTCCGTCTGTATCTGCAAGGGACCGCGCCACCTCCTGGGACATTTCATCACCGCTCCCCTTTGCGCCACGTCTTTTCTGGGAGCTGCTGTCTCCAACTGGATTCAGGCTGAGGGCGCTCCCTGGGATAAGGAAGAGCACTTTTCCGGAAAGCAGCTGTGTAGCCAGTGATGGTTGTGCATTGTCCAGTTGACAAAGACCTTGCTATTTTTTAAGGGGCAGACATTGTGAGGAAGGATACAGGACCTTTCAAATTATTTTTAGGATGAGAGGCAATGTCATTCTGTGGCAGCTTAGCCTGGGGTTCACTACAATTGCACTTTTCAATCTCGTTCCCCTGGCTGTATCACAGGTGGAAATGTGCCACCCCACTTCCCCTTCCCCGCCCGCCTCTGGCCATCAGCTGTCAAGAGTAGTGATGGTGCTGTTCTGGGTTTTTGACTCCTTCTGTATCCCTGTTTTAACGGGGGAAAAATTTTTTTTTAAATCCTCATCCTAGGATATTTTTTCCATTGACTTTTTTTTTTTAGAGGGAGTGAAAGGGAGGGAGGAGGGGGAGAAACACTGATGTGAGAGAGACACATCGATTGGTTGCCTCTGGCATGTGCCCCGACCAGGGCCAGGGATTGAACCTGCAACCCAGGTACTGCCCTTGGCTGGTAATTGAACCTGCAACCCCTTAGGTCCCCGGGCCGATGCCTCACCACTGAACTGAACCAGCCAGGGCTTTCACTGAAATTGGAGAAAAACTGGAGGTAGGGCTGCTAGATGGATACCATTTAAAACTAGAAGCCATGCTGACACACTTTTCAAAGGGTGAGCTACATATGCCCTGCCTCCACTTCCTGGGCCCTCCACCAGCTGACACCACCTTCCCTTGAACCCCTTGAAGCCACTAGGAACCTCCACATTGTTAAAGCCAAAGGGCCCTGGGGCTCATCGTCTTACCCCGTCTCTTCTCAGCATGCGACACTGCTGAGCACGGGCCGCTCTTGTTAGCAAACTCGTGTGGGCGCCGTGCTCATGCTCTTCGTATTCATTACTTCATAAAACCCTCCCAGCCAGCCTGCGCAGTGTCGTCACTGTTTCCATTCCACGGATGAACATGGACACGGCGGGCTCCTGCTGCTGGACACGGAGCTAATGAGCGGAGGTGTCAGGAGAGAAGCTTCTTAAATGTCCGTCCAGGGCGTCTGTGACCTCGTTGGCTCTTTGTTTCCCTCCTTCCTCTCTGGCTCCTCCTCTGCAGTCCCCTCTTGGCCAGCCTCTTACATGTTGTGTCTTTGGCTTATTTCCTAAAAGCTTTTCCTCCTCTCTTTCTGGGCAGTTTCATCCAGTCACGTTCTGATGGCTCTTGGATCTCCATCCTCCTCGCAGACACCTTTCGTGAGCCCTGGACCCACTTACCCAGCTGCCTTCCCAGCATCTGCTCTCGGAGACCCCTCGGCTCCACACACTGAAGTCAAGTCAGGATCTTCCCCCAGTGACCTGGTGGTTTCTGCTTTGGGTTAGGCATTAGTACCTGTTCTTCTTTTTTTCCCTGTCCATCGACATTAAGTTTATTCTTGAGTATTTTATTCTTTTTAATGTTATTGTAAATGAAGTTATTTTCTTAATTTTTTTAGACTGTCCACTGTTAGTGCATAGTGCAACTGATTTTTGTGTGTTGATTTTGTATCCTGCAACTTTGCTGTATTTGTTCATTAGTTCTAACAGGTGTTTGTGTGTGTGTGTGTGTGTGTGTGTGTGTAATTATTAGGGTTTTCTTTATATAAGATCATGTCACCTGCAGACACAGATAATTTTACTTCTTCCTTTCCAATCTGGATTTCTTTTCTTTTTCTTGCCTAATTGCTTTGGCCATGACTTCCAATATTATGTTGAATCAAAGTGGCAAGAGTGGACATCCTTGTCTTGTCCCTGATTTTAGAGGGAAAGCTTTCAACCTTTCACTGTTGAGTAATATGCCGGCTGTGGTCTTTTCATATTGGTTTTTATTGTGTTGAAGTAGTTTCCTTTTATTTTGAGTGTGTTGAGTATACCTCTTCACCAGGTCATTAGAATAGTTATGTAGCTGGTCTTCCTGGCTCTTAGACTCTCTAATGTCTCTAAACCACGGAAAAATTAGGAAGAGCCTGGGGGATGAGAACCTACCACCAGGAGAGGAGCTGGGTACAGGGGATGGGTAAGCAGCAGGAGGCCTGGCACTTTTTCCCACAGGAGCCACGGAAGTAGAGAGCAGTGTGTGGAGTGACTGGGTGCCTCGCTTGCCTCTGGCTTCACAGACTCTACCCCTCAGCCTCTGCCCCACTGGAGCCCATTGCCCCCACCCACAACCATTAGGCCACGCCCCTCAGCCTTCCCCCGCCCTGCCCCCAGTCCTCACAGGCCTGACCCTTCCAGGCCCCTGTCCTCAGTCCTCACAGGCCCCTGACCCTGCCCTGCAGTCAGATGGAGTTGAAAAACCCACATTACTTTCTTTCAGGGCCCTGGGAGGAGGATGAGATTCGCAGGGACCGAGTGGAACCTCAGAGCGTGTCCCTGTCATGGCGGGAGCCCATTCCTGCTGGAGCCGCTGGGGCCAATGGCACAGAATACGAGATCCGCTACTACGAGAAGGTGGGTCAGGGTCTGGGAGGCACCAGGCACAGCATTCCCAGTTGCAGTCTGTCCTCTGCCCATCGTTTTCCTCTTCTTCACAATCTTTTCCCAGCAAAAGTCCTTCTTTTTTCTAAACATATCCACTGGCCTCCTGAGTGGCCTTGCAGGCTGGAGTTTCTTCCTGGCCCCTGCTCACTGTGGACTCCCCTGCTCTTCCTCTTTCCCTCAAGTCTCCCTTCATCACTAGCCATCATCTCCATCTTCACCACTTTTGCCTGGTGTTTACAGTTGACAAAGAGCTTTCTCTGCGGGCTGATCCAGATTTTATGTACCCGAATCGTAGACATACAATTTACAATCCTTAAAAAAAAATAATGCAGAAATATATTGTTTCAAATTTTACAAAAATGCATGACTGTCTCAGCACATGGCTAGGTCAGGTGGCCAGCTAGGGCTCGGCAATGTGCTGGTAAGTGTTTAACTATCAGCTCTCCAGAACAGGGAATGGATGGATTATTATTATAATTGTACTGACATAAAGGATATGTAACAACATTTACAAATAATAATAAAAATATACAGTGGTCCTGCTGGTCCATGCAGCTTTGCTTAAGTAGATCCCAGCTTCACTCCCTCCGTGCTAAGCAATCTGGGCTGTAAACACCATCACAATTAGTTCCCAACCATTCCAAGCCCCAGGGGTCATTCTCTGAGATCCTGCTGCCTTGGGGGCATTATGCCGGCCTGAGATGAGGCAGCCACCCCCACCCATTCCTGTTGAACTTGGCTTTTACCACTTGAAACCAGTGTCCTGCCATTACCTTAGTAAGATGGTAGTACACAGAGGCCTGTTTACTTTTGTGAGGGTCCAGGGTCGGGAGAGGAAGAGGAGGTTGATGGACAGGAGGGAGTTCTTCCATTCTTCCTAATGAGGTACCCACAGACGGGAGAACTTCATGAAACAGCAGTGAAAAGCAAAATCAAAGTTAAGTTTTCAGCAGGTCAACCACCCTGCACGCGCGCACACACACACACACACACACACACTAGGTGTGGACATCCTACTGTCCCAGCTTTATAAAATTTCAACTGAAATTTTAATGCATTTAATTTTAAATATATATTTACTGTAGGGATTTAGAAAATACAGAAAATTAAAATAGCCTTATGTAACTTACATGATTCGATAAGAGAAGGAGGCATGGATAGTATAAAGAAGATCACATGAGATTTCCCATCGAGGCCATGCTAAGGAGACTGCCACCGGACAGCTACAGGATATGATCTGTGTATAGATTTAGAGTCCTTCATCTACAGTTCTGACAGCCAAACCAGAATCTTTTCTGTAATTCATTTGGCATTGAAACCTGAGCTGAAATTATATATATATATATATATAGCGCTTCTTATTGGAAACTCCTATAGCCTATTGATTCTGATAGGATAGATACCCTTGCTGATTTTTTGCTCACCTCTTGTGTCTGTTGTCAGTCCATGGGTGCAGTCTCGCCATGATTTGACAAATGGATTTACCTCCCGATCCACTATCTCTTTTCCCCATGGCTGTATTGTCTGTAAATCTGACATGTAATCTCCTGTTAAACCGTTTCCCACCTTGGTGCAGATATCTTCATTACTGTGAAGCCTTGCTTTCAGCTTCCGCACTGCCTGTGTCAGAGCTTCGCTGGCTCCTCGGTCGCTGGAGGAATTCTTTGCTGAATCACATAATAGGTTTAGAATCCCAGAAGTCTATTGGGAGCTGTGAGCTGGGGGAGTGGTATGTTGAACAGGAAGGTGGAGGGAGCCCCTCTACCCTCTGAGCTCAATGTCCTTATCTCAAAAAGATGATACCTCCTGTCCTGTGCCTTGCAGGGCAGTTGTGAACATCAGATGACAAGGGGGAAGAAAGGCTTTGTGAGCCGACAAGGACCGGGCAGGTGTCAGGCTCATTTTCTTATTCTTTCCTCAGAGGCAGCAGGCCCAGCTCACCCCCTGGACTGCCAGGCCTGGTGCCCGTCATCCTGTCACCCCCGCGAAGGAAGACCTAGCTCCTTCCCTAAAGTTTCTCTTAGCAAGTGGGGTGGGAACTTGTGGTGGAGGAAGGGGTTGCAGATGTTTTGGGAGAAACCTGTGGAATCCCCTGGAGACGACTGGAGTCAGGTTCTGCCTCCTAAGGGTGCTCTCCTGCCTCCCTCCTCCTGCCCCCCATCATTCTCCCAGGAGCCTGGGTCTGGCCCTTGGTCTAGGCCTCACTTCTTGGTCCCTCCCCAGGGTCAGAATGAGCAGACTTACTCCACAGTGAAGACAGGGGCGCCTGCGGTCACCGTCACCAACCTGAAGCCAGCTACTCGCTACATCTTTCAGATCCGGGCGGCTTCCCTGGGGCCATCCTGGGAGACGCAGAGCTTCAGCCCCAGCATTGAAGTACAGACCCCAGGGGAGGGTAAGTGAGCTGCGCCAGGGGACCTGGGCGGGGATGGGGCACGGAGACAAATTGGAGGGGGCGGTTATCTGTGCAATTAAGGGAGCCTGCAGTACAGTTTAATTGCAACCTAATTAACTAATGAATTTGGAACCCGCCTGATACCTGTTCAGGCTGTGAATTAGACGGGTTGCCTGGGCTGGAGGAGCTCACAGGGAAGGAGGTCACGAACACCTACACCCCAGGTCTCGGCTGGTGGCTCCCTGCCTCTCAGGACCTATCCCATGTCTTGTGGAAGCATCCTGTGCCCTCCCCAAGATTCTTGCTATTTCCTTGGGAGGAGTTTCAGCCTCATGGTCACCTCTCGCTCTGACTGCTAAATTCATTTTTTAAAAATATATTTTTATTGATTTCAGAGAGGAAGGGAGAAGGAGAGAAATAGAAACATCAGTGATGAGAAAGAATCATTGATCGGCTGCCTCCTGCACTCCCACACTGGGGATTGAGCCCACAACCTAAGCACGTGCCCTAACTGGAAATTAAACCATGACCTACTGTTCATAGGTCGACACTCAACCACTGAGCCATGCCAGCTGGGCTGACGGCTAAATTCCTGTTCCCATTCTGCTTCTTTCTCTCTGCCGTGATATGGACCCAAACGTGGATCACTGTCACCTTCCCCACTGGGCCTTAAAATATTGAAACAGACTCCACCGGGGGATGGGGGCCGTGAAGGGGTTGCACCGCAGCAATCAGTGCAACCAAACGAGAGTTGTGCATTCTCAGTGGTGAAAAATTTCTCAATAGAGCTGTTACCAAAACAAAACAAAAGCTGAACATTAGATGTGCCGATTCTAAAACAGCTCCGCTTCTCCACGGCATTGTTCTACCACCCGCTTCACCGCCCTCCCCTGGTTCCTCGTCCCCGGACCCCCACACTCCCTTTCAGGATGCATGAAGAGCATTTAGCTTCCTCTTTTGTTGTTTCTCTTGCTGCTAACCCAGTCCTCGGGGTCTCACCTCTATCTATCCCAAGCAGCTCATGAAAGTATTTTCCCGGACAAAGGCAGTTCCCCCTAAGAGGCATTCTGGCACCAGCTGTCAAGATAATAATTCTTCCCAACCTGCTACATGAGACTAATCCAAGATAGGAAGAGCTCTGAGCCCAAAGGGAGGTGGAGATAAAATGTTGAGGGAGTTTGAGTTCTGGGAAGGGAGACAGCACTTCTTGCTCGAATGCCTGTCTGTGCCAGGCCTTGGCCAGGTGCTGGCAAACGGAGATTAGAGCCATGTCTCGAAGGCTGGGGAACATGACTGTGTGGAGATGGGCAGGAAAGGCACTTTGGATAGACGAAGCCATCTGAACAAAGGCGCATGGATTTGGCTGGAGTGAGTGTGGTGTGGGCAGGAGCTGGGACTGTTAGCGGAAGGGGCTGGTGACTTCCATTCATCTGGTGCTTTTTGGTTAGTGGATACTGCTCAGCTCCCCAGCATCCTTTGCTGTGGCCCTGGCTATGGGGGCTTGGGCCTCCCAATCTGCATAGCACTTTTTTTCCAATGAGCCATAACCCCAGATCAGGATCATGATGAAAGACCATGCTTCAGGGCTCCATTGCTGCGTAACAAATTGTCCCCAAAACTTAGCAGCTGAAAATAACAAGAAGTTGTTATCTCATGGTTTTTTGTGTGTCAGGGGTATGGGTGCAGCTTAACTGGGTGCCACTTGACTCAGGGTCTCTCACAAGAACACAGTCAAGCCCTGACCGGTTTGGCTCAGTGGATAGAGCGTCGGCCTGCGGACTCAAAGTTCCCAGGTTCGATTCCGGTCAAGGGCATGTACCTTGGTTGCGTGCACATCCCCAGTGGGGAGTGTGCAGGAGGCAGCTGATCGGTGTTTCTCTCTCATCGATGTTTCTAACTCTCTATCCCTCTCCCTTCCTCTCTGTAAAAAATCAATAAAATATATTTAAAAAAAAAAAGAATGCAGTCAAGGTGTCCTCTGGGGTTGTGATTCATCTGAAGGCTTAACTGTGGGAGACTCTGCTCCCTTCTTGGGTTCTTGCTGGCTCTTCGGCGGAGGCATGCAGTTCCTTGGCTCACGGGCTTCTCCGAAGGGCTACTCACAACACAGCAACTAGATTCTTCTAGAGACTGTGAATGAGCGAGAGAACACCCGAGACAGAAGGCACAGTCTCCCGTAACCTAATCTTGGAAATGATACCCATTACTTTTGCCATATTCTTCAAAGCCTTTGGGAAGAAATGATTGTTCCTCTGTTCAGCTCCGCTCAGCTTTCTCTGTTTCTTATTTTATTCTACAGTTAAGTTTTTGTTTCTATCTTTCCCACTGGTCTGTACACCCCTCCCGGGCAGGGACGCTGGCTCATTCATCGCTTCCTCCCCAGCGCCAGCCTCGTACTGTTGGATGGATGGATGGATGGGTGGGTGGATGGGTGGACAGGGCTGAGAGCCTGAGCTCCTCTAGGCCTCTCCCTTGGTGAAATAACTCAAAGCAGAGGTTTGAAATCAAGTTCAAATCTTAGGATCATTATTTATTAGCTCTGTGACCTTGAACAAGTTATACAACTTGCCTCAATGTCAATTTCCTCAGCTGTAAAATGGAGACAGTGGCACCGTACTGGCTGGTTGTGATGATGAAACAGGATCATTCAGTCCAGGCACGTGGCACAGTGTCTTGAATGGCTTAAGTGTGCGCTAAACGTTTACTTTTATCATTATTGGTGGTGAATGGTCTCGCTTGGGGTTGGGGAGCTCAGGCAAGAGGCCATTCCCCCTGCAGAGCTACCTTAAGTCTATCATGGCCCATCTGAAAGGCAAAAAGGGAGTCCCAGGTCTGCCTGTCTGGACCCCTGCGCCTCTCTCTCAGAGCTGGGCTTCTGTGGCGGTGCCCAGCCCTGGGAGAACCGGAAGCTCCAGGCGCCATTGTGTTTGGGACTGCCTTGATCCCTCTGCTGTGGGAGGCAAAGGTGCTGCGGAAACCCTTCTGTGGGGCGAGGACACTTACCCAGGAGCCCGGTGCTCTGCCTGCCTCAACCTCGTGCTCTTCCTCCCAGCTGCCTCCGGCTCCAGGGACCAGAGCCCCGCAGTTGTCGTCACCGTGGTGACCATCTCAGCCCTCCTTGTCCTGGGCTCTGTGATGAGCGTGCTGGCCATTTGGAGGAGGTAGGTGGTCCGAGCCTGACTGACCTCTGGTGGGTTGTGACCCTGTGCTCACGGGCACCTGTGTCTATACCAGCATGTGCGCGCATGCGGATTTGCACATGCAAGCACATTGCTGTACAGATACAGGCATGGCCAGTCTGGTCCTGGCCCCGCCCCCACCCACTGCTCCTGCGGCAGCCGGCGCTGCAGCTAGCTCCGCCGCTCTGGGATGAAGGGGATTTAGCTCCTTAACTCATTAAATGTCAGAAGGCATCACTGAGGATGGAATCAAGCTGCGGCTGCTCCAGTGTGATTAGGACTCTCCCGAGGCGCTCAGAGGCCCCCAGCTGCTGCCCCAAGGGGTCCCGAGGCCCTGAACACAAGCGAAGGGAAGAAAGGCATAAATTGTGTTGTGTGTATGTGTGTGGGAGGGGGGAGGACAGGGAGGGGAACTGATAAACCAGAAACCCCCAACCCCCAGCAGAAGGAAGCTTGCAGGAGAGAGGGCAGAGAAGGGGGCTGGGAGGAGGGGAAGATGGCTCTTGAATGTAGCTCAGAGAAGATTCCAGTCCTTTTGCTTGCAGCCTAAACCTCATGGCACATGCTCCCCAGGCAGGTCCGGGTCGGGTGGGGTGGGGAGGGGAGGAGCTGAGCTCAGCACACTTGAGGGGTTGGAAAGTCTGCATGCAAAGGGCTGCAGCTGGGGGAGCAGAGGAGAGACGAGGGCTGGCCAGAGAGCCACATTCTCCACACATCTCAGCATCCTGGAACTCACTGCCGGCGGCTGGAGGGACAGTGAGCATTCATTGGGTATGACAGGAAGTGACTAAGGGGGAGAGGACCTTGTCCTGCGGGTCTGGGAGCCAGCTCTGCCTGGGCAGGGGGTCGGGAAGGCAGGACCGGAGTAGCGAGCTCCTTCCTCACAGAGCCTCAAAGTTCATATGCTGGACCTATTGGAAAAGCATTGTGTCCTGCCTGTGAGTTTAGGGGCTCAGGGAGGCAGAAAGGAAGGGGGAGAGAGGTGAACGAGGAGCACCTTCCTAGGAGGACTCTGCAGGCCGGAGCCGCTGCCCAGGAGGGCTCGGAGACAGATGTCCTGAGCAGGCAGAGCAAGCCAGGGGTGGGTTTCAAAACCTGCTCAAAATCAAGCGACAGTGAAGTGGGGAGAATCAGCCGGTCTAGTGCCGATGGGCACGGGGCACACTCCTGACCTCTGTCGTCCTTGCCCTGTGCAGTGGTCTCACCTCCTCTTCCCCTCCTCGCTCTATCCTGGCTCATCCCACTTGTCGCTAGAGGGTGTCTTCCAGTGGAAGCTTCTCATTTCCTCTGCCACTCCACCATCCACTCACCTTGCCCCTTCCCTTCACCTCGACCCCCTCTCCTGGATGTCCCCTCACTCATGGAAGTCCTGTCACCATGCTGAGTGACTTGCGTAGCCATTGCATGGCCAGTCCCAGCCGCCCGCCTCTCCGTTCTTTGACTTCCTTGTTCCCAGGGACCTTCTCTTCTGTTCCACCTCCCTCCCCCTTATCCTGACAAGGACCTGGACATCACCCGCATTGCTGTACAGATACAGGCATGGCCAGTCTAGTCCTGGCCCCGCCCCCACCCACTGCTCCTGCGGATACTGGTCCATTTCTACTTTGGTCCTTCAGGCTCCCTGTCCCTGCAGCTTGCTCCCTCAGCCACCTCTGCTGCCCCGTCTCTTCAACTGTATCGTTAGCCCCTCATCTGCTCACCACCAGGTCGACACACCTGCCTCTCTCATAGCCTCCTCTCCCTCCTCGCGCTGTAGAGGAGGTGCCGTCCTCCTAGCCAGGGTCAGTCTTCCTACCTAGGACCTGAGCCCTCTCCCTCTCACATCTCAGGAACCCGTACTATTTATAATGTCCCTCTCTCCCCCATATGACAGCTAACATTCACTGAAACAGTGCTATTAGGTGGGCCGTCTTTTTTTTTTTTAATCTTGTTGAAAGTATTACATATGTCCCCTTTCCTCTCCATTGGCCCACTCCAGCCCACTCCCACCCCCCACCCCAGACCTTCACCAACCTATTGTCTGTGTCCATGGGTTATGCATATATGCATACAAGGTCTTTGGTTGATTATTTCCTGATTTTATTAAAGAGAAAACCGAGCCACTCAGCCCCTCATCTGCTGAGTAGAGGAGCTGGGAAGCCAGTCCCTGCAGTGAGGTTCCAGAGCCCACGCTGTTAACCGCCCCGTGACCGCCCCGTGACCACTTCCTCCGATGTGACAGACAGCCTTTCTCCCCTTCCCCGCTGGTACGGAGCCATGACCACCTCTCTCCAGCCTCCCCTGATCCCTCGTCCTCCAGCCCGCCCTGCCCGTGGCTGACCTCTCTCCCTGCTGCTCTTCTTTCCTTGGTTCCTGTGACATCACCACCCCAGTTTCCCTCCCACTTCTCTGGCGGTTCTGTAGTGATCTCCTTGGCTTCCTCCTCCCTTACCCAATCTCGAAACGTAGGGGGTCCTCTGACTGGTTCCTAGTCCCGCTTCTCACAGCTCCTGAATTTGTGTTCCAAACTCCAGACACAGACACACACATACTGACTCCCTCCCACTGATCCTCCCTGCTCATCCCAGAGGCCCTGCAAACTCAAATGTCTAGACGTGAACTTTTCATCCCCCCTTCTTGGCTAATGGCAGCACCATGAACTCTGCTGGGCAAGCCTTCTTCCTCTCCCTTTCTGCCTCCCTGTCACCTACATGTCTCTGAGTCCTCCCGCTTTTCTCACCCCATAGTCTGAGCCACCGCCATGGCCAGCAGGGACAGCAGCAGCAGCTGGATGGTCTCTCTAAAATGCAAATGGCATCTCAGCACTCCCCTGCTCAGAGTTCCCTAGGGGCTCTCCTCCAATCTGGAATAAAAGTCAAAGTCTTTATCTGGGCCAGCATGGCCCAGCCGCAGGGGGCCCCAAATGCCAGCCTGTGTTGGTTGTGATGTAGTCCTCTGGCCCACAGCGGCCTGTCTCAGGCAGCCGTCCTGATGGCCCGGAAGGCGTGTTTCCAGCCATTCTGTGCTCCACGGCGCACAGCCCTCCCCTTTGCTGGGCCCTGTGAGGGGGCTGTGGTGACCTCGCAGTGTTGGTTTTCCTGGCTACACCGGAAGCTGCCCCCAAGTACAAGGCCTGTTTGTTCTGTTCCCCTGTAGCCAGGGGGGCAGCTTGAACTAAAAGTCAGGGGTATAGATTTGGGCGCCTCCGGAGTGGCAAGAATATGCCCTGTGACTCAAAGTGAAAATAACTAGGAATGCTGATGGGGGTGAGGAGTTAGGTCTGGCGCTAGGGTTACATGAGCACCGTGGGGAGGAGCTTTCAAACCAGCTGAATAAGAAGATCCCTCCCCTGGGGCACAGACCGTGTCCTTTTGAAGGGACAAAGAGGCACCCCCCCCCCACTGGTGAGATGGGGAGGGCTGGGCAGCCTGGCTCAAGGAATGACTCTGCACCCCCAGGCCCTGCAGCTATGGCAAAGGAGGTCAGGATGCCCACGATGAGGAGGAGCTGTATTTCCACTGTGAGTTGTCTGGGCCTGGCATGGGGTGGGGCGGGTGCCCCCCCCCCCACTCCTCATCCCTCTTCCTGCATCCACTGCACACCCCCACCCTCCAGCCATGGAAGCCCCTCTCCGCAGGACCCTCCCTCTTTGTGTTCCCAGTCAAAGTGCCGACTCGCCGCACGTTCATGGACCCCCAGAGCTGTGGGGACCCACTGCAGGCTGTTCACCTGTTTGCCAAGGAGCTGGATGCGAAAAGCGTCACAGTGGAGAAGAGCCTCGGGGCAGGCAAGCTGGGCACCCAGGAAGCCTTGTCCTTGGGGGGCACTGCCTCTGCCCTAGCCTCACCCGCTCTAGAAGTCCCACCACCGCTCCACCCACTTCGATTCTGTAAGCCTGCCTCCACCCCAAGGCCCTCTCAGAGCTGGCCTGTTCAGACTGCCACGGGCAGACGGGCAGACGTTCAGTCCCAGGCCTTCATGGGGCCTTTGCAAGCTTGGGGACCAGACATTCCTGAGCTTTAGTCCCAGCTCTATCACTAACCAGCTGTGTGATCAGGGGCACATCCTCCTTCTGCTCTGAGCCTGTTTCTCATCTGTAAAATGGGCATGAGAGCTGCCTCAGACAGAGCTGATATGGGGACTTCACAGGCTCAGTCCAAGGCCTGGCTCATGGTAGGTGCTCGTCCCCTAATGGTCAGTCTCCTGACTCTCTTTCTTCCTGCCTACAAACCCTTGGCCTGTGCTGGGGAAGGCAGAAACTTTCACCAGGAGCCAGAAGCTAAGCCCTGACACGGTTGCAGACTCACTGGGCAGAAGCCGGAAAGCGGTGTGTGGCAGAATGGGCGCCATCGTCACCCTGAGTCACACTGGGCTGGGCTGGAGGAGCCTTTGCCGTGCGGGCATATGCCAAGCCCTCTCTTTGAGGCAGGCAGGCGGGAGTCCCCTTTCACACGAACACCAGGCAGGAGAGGGAGGGAGACATGGAACCACGTCACTTTGCTGGTACTCAGTGTAGCATGGTTTGAACCCGAGAGCTCCGAGTCCCAGACAGGAAGCAGCCCATGACCCAGAAGTTGCTCTCTCCTCGCTCGCCCTGCCCGGGTTGGCCAGGGGAGCGGCCTCCTGCTGGTGTCTGAGGTGCTGTTTCCCCACAGGGCGGTTTGGGGAGCTGTGCTGTGGCCGCCTGCAGCTCCCTGGCCGCCAGGGGCTCCCGGTGGCTGTGCACACACTGAGGGAAGGCTGCTCCGACTCCCAGAGGCTCAGTTTCCTGGCCGAGGCCCTCACGCTGGGGCAGTTTGACCACAGCAACGTCGTGCGGCTGGAAGGGGTTGTCACCAGAGGTAGGGCCCAGTGCTCCGCACGTATGGGGATGACAGCGCGGGAGGGGGGTGCTCCTGTGCCCCAGGGCCCTTCCCTACGCTGAGAGGGAGCCCCTGAAATGCCCAGCATGGGGGAAAGGTCTCAGCTTTTCTTCACCAACTCAGGGTGGCCCCGCTGTCCCTGAGTGACCTTTCTGACTTGTGGTGACGCTCTGTGGGATGGGCTGCTTGGACCTTGGGTGATTTTTCTCAGCAAACGTGTAGCTCTTGCCCTGGGCCTTTGTCCCCCTATGGATGCCTCCTCTTGTTCAGCATAGGGGACCCTGGGTCCTGAAGGGGGGCGGCAAGATTAGGGGAGAGTGGCCCTGGTTCCGGGCATCTTGGCCCTGGTCGGGGCCCACATAGGGGAGCATGTGTCCATTGGGAGCAGCCATCTGAGCCTGTGTGTGTCCACGTCCCTGGGCACAGGAAGCACCCTGATGATCGTCACTGAGTACCTGAGCCACGGGGCCCTGGACGGCTTCCTCAGGGTGAGTGCTGTGGGCCCTGGGGGTAGAAATGACCGCGTTATCTTCTCTTTGTTGGGACTTGGAGTGGCATCATTCCCTGAAAAGGTACCCACTGGCCAGGCCGACCTGGTGGGTGACAGGGCAAGCTGAAGCGCAGAGAGGGCCACGTGACTTTCCTGGGGTCGCACAGCACCAGGGGAGCTGAGTGTGCAGCCCTGGCCTCCATCTCCTTCCTCCCTCAGCGGCACGAGGGCCAGATGGTGGCTGGGCAGCTGCTGGGGCTGCTGCCTGGGCTGGCGTCAGCCATGAAGTATCTGTCGGAGATGGGCTACGTTCACCGGGGCCTGGCCGCCCGCCGCGTGCTGGTCAGCAGTGGCCTTATCTGCAAGATTTCCGGCTTTGGGCGGGGACCTCGGGACCGAGCAGAGGCTGTCTACACCACCATGGTGAGGAGCTGTTTCCCCGAGGCAAGCCTGCTCCCCTGTTTCCATCAAACTGCCCCAGAGTCCCCGTCTCCCCACTTCCCCCCTCCTCCCCGCCCCTCACCAGTTGGTCCTGGGTAAATGCCAGTGTGGACATCGCCTTGCGGTCAGCTTGTGTGCTCTCCCCAGATGTGCAGCTGGGAGGATGGCCGGTGGGGCTGGATCTGAGACCCTGTGGTGTGGGGAACCTGGGTTGCCTGCAGAGTGGCCGGAGCCCGGCGCTGTGGGCCGCCCCCGAGACGCTGCAGTTCGGCCACTTCAGCTCTGCCAGCGACGTGTGGAGCTTCGGTGTTGTCATGTGGGAGGTGATGGCGTTTGGGGAGCGGCCCTACTGGGACATGTCCAGCCAGGACGTGAGTGACCTGTGGCTCCAGCTCCCTGCCTTCTGATCCTCTTGCCCTCTGACCTCAGTTCCCTGGTTCCTCTTCACTGTTTCTTTGCTTCTAGTCCTGCCTGGCCACCCCAGTCTTCCTGTGGGGTGGGGTGTGTGTGTGTGTGTGTGTGTGTGTTGGGGGGATCTAAAGCCTCCCTCTGCACCCCCCACCCCATGGCCCAGGTAATCAAGGCCGTGGAGGATGGCTTCCGGCTGCCGCCCCCCAGGAACTGCCCTTCCCCCCTGCACCGGCTGATGCTGGACTGCTGGCAGAAGGACCCGGGTGAGCGGCCCAGGTTCTCCCAGATCCACAGCATCCTGAGCAAGATGGTGCAGGACCCAGATCCCCCGAAGTGTGCTACGGCCCCCTGTCCCAGGTACGTCCCCATCTGTCCCCGACCACAGCAGACTCAGCGACCTCTCACCTGACCATGAGTGGCCGCCCACGTGCCCCTCGTCCAACAGCCCCATCTCTCCTACCCACCCGTTAGGTAGGACTGCTCACCGCCGTCCCAGATAGATCTGATCTTCCGCTGCCAGAGGCACATGCAGCCTTCATCCACCTCAGTCACTTCTGCTTGTCCTGGGCTGTGCTCACATACCCCAGGGACAGTGACCATTGGATAATATTTGTGGTCACAGTCCTAACTGACTTGTAATTCCAGTAAATAAAATAAGTGAAATTAGGACGAGTTGTCCCAAATGTGAGTTGCCTCTAAAACTGTCGTAGGTGTGTCCTACCCCCAGACTGTTCCAGATACTCCCAGGACCTTTGGCTGGCTCAGGTGCAACTCGCTCCCACCCTCCTGAGTGTGTCGAACACTCACCTGCTCTGAGAATGCGTGGCACTCGGTGTGAGCCAGGTGTGCCCTGGGCCCAGGCCTCCCCGCCTGTCCTTGCACAGCTGGCCTGTCCGCAGGACAGTGAGCAGGCTGGGCACCGGATCCTGCTGTTGATTGGCCGCCCCCCTCTGCCCCCAGGCCACCCACTCCCCTGGCGGACCGTGCCTTCTCCACCTTCCCCTCCTTTGGCTCCGTGGGCGCCTGGCTGGAGGCCCTGGACCTGGGCCGCTACAAGGACAGCTTCACGGCAGCTGGCTATGGGAGCCTGGAGGCCGTGGCCGCCATGACTGCGCAGTGAGTGGGGGGAACCCAGGGCCCTGCCCCGCCTCTACGGGAGGCCCAGCGTCCTGATTCTGGGTTTCCCTGTCCAGACAGAGGGAGGGGCTTGAGTGGCTGGGTCTGACCCATTCTTCGTTCTTCTTCGCAGAGACCTGGTGAGCTTGGGCATCTCGTCGGCGGAACATCGGGAGGCCCTCCTCAGTGGGGTCAGCGCCCTGCGGGCACGAGTGCTCCAGCTGCAGGGCCGGGGGGTGCAGGTGTGAGCAGCCCCCACTCTTCAGGCAGGGACCCCAGTGGGCTGCAGACCCCGCCTTGACAGCACCCTGGCAAGCTGCGCTCCACCGTGCAGAAGTGAGCACTCTTCCCATTTCCTCAGTCTGAGCACCTGGGCTGACTCAGTCTCCCTTAGAAAAGGGTCAGATCCCTGGAGAAGACCCTCGAGAGAAGAGGGAGGAAGTGCAGGGTTTCAGAGACTGAGGTGGGGCTGGGCAGGGAGGGAAGACAGAGTTTCAAATCACCGGGCTCATGCCCTCTTGTCTGCCACATCCATGGGGAGCTGGGATCTGCCCCTTATCCCACAGACCCATTGGCCAGCAGGCAGCCTGGGTCCCTGCTGGGCCCTCTTTAGGCCTGAGTGACCGAGCTGCCTGGAAGCCCGTCCTGATGGGCCCTGGAGGGCAGGGTCCTCAGCTCCTTGCGCTCTGGCTCAGCCCTGACCCATTGGCCAGCAGGCAGCCTGGGTCCCTGCTGGGCTCTCTTTAGGCCTGAGTGACCGAGCTGCCTGGAAGCCCATCCTGATGGGCCCTGGAGGCAGGGTCCTCAGCTCCTTGCGCCCTGGCTCAGCCCTAGCTCAGCCCTGGCTGGACGTTGGTCCCCGCGGCGCAGGCAGCAGAGGAGGTGCTGAGCTCAGGGGCTGGACCTCGAGGCCCTAGACTGGAGCGGGTTTCTGCTTCCCTTGCTTTTGGGCTGACAGTTCAGCGGGAGGGAAGGGTCCTGGCTGGGCCACTCGAGGTCCTGGTGCTCCCCTGAGGCCCCCGAGCCTCTCTGTGCACTTTGCATTCCTTTTATAAACTCAGTGGCCGGGACCCTGGGACGAGCAGGCGGGGAGATGTGTTCTCTCCAGGGGGACCCCGGGCTTTGTGTCCAGCCTTGGGGACGGTGAAGAAGAGACCCTCAGAGATGGACCTTCTCTCTCCGACAGGCTGGGCCAACCCTCACTGTTCAGATGGGGAAAACTGAGGCCCAGGGAGGAGTCAGGGCCAGGCCTGGGTTACAACCAGGTGGCACAGGGCCCTGTGCAGGGGTGAGGCTGGCTCTGGAGAGAGGCCTTGGTCCTGCCCTGTGACACCACCCCCTGTCCTGTGGCAGCCAGAGGTACTCTGAGGTGAGCCCCTATGGGGAGCTCCATCCCCTGGCCACTGCCCAGCCCCACAGAGCGCCTCCTCCCTGGGGCTTCTGCAGGCCTCTGACCAAAGCGGGTGCACTAGGCTGACTCCAGAGTTCCTTGTCCAGAGGGGCTCCCTAAAAGTGGAGGTGACCACGAGGCCAGGCTGTCGTAGTGCGTCAGGAAGGCGGCTGGGGCTGGATAGGGCCACGGGGGCTGTCTTTCCAGGTGACTCCTGACAGGCCTCTCTGGGTTTGGCTGTGTGTGGGGTGGGGTGGGCTGGGATGGGGTGGGATGGGAAGGAGCAAAGGGGTGAATGAGACACAGAGCCGGCCCTTGGAGGGCTTAGGCCAGGTGGGGAGATGAGCTCAGGCACCAAGAAGCACCCCAAGGGTGCCTGCCAACGTGCCCCGGGGCCCCAGGGGAGACCTTTGGGCTGGCTGGTGGGCTGGAGGGGCAGCTGGACTCTTGATTGTGTGTGTGGTGGTATGTCTGGAGGGCTTCTTGGCTGAAAGGCTGACTTGGAAGTTCAGGGGCTTTAAAGGTGGGAAGGGTCCTTCCTTAGGGGATGAAGCTTCCAGCCGGCCTAGATGGAGGCCTTAGGAAAGGAGGAGCCCAAGCAGAAGGGGGAGCTGAGAAGGAGCCTGGGGGCTGGAAGACGCAGTGCACCTTTGGGGAGCACCCCATGGTGGGGATGGTGCCTCACAGCAGTGCCTTTGGCCTGGCCCTGCCAGCTCTTTTCTCCTTAGGTTTCCTCCCAC